CTGTTTAACTGAATTACAAAGCAACGGTGATTAAAATAATCTAATAAAATATTTTAAAAATATTTAAAAATTCTAGCCAGCCTATATAAAGTCCTAATGTCTGAGACAACAAGTGAAAATTATTCTTTTTTTATTTCTGTAATAGTATTGAAAATAATATCTTGTAATTTTTAGTATTTGGCATGTCAGTGGTATGAGGCCTGATATGAGGCCTGTTTTTCCACCTGTTTCATTAAGGCGACTTCATGAGCTATGAGTGACATCCAGTCCCTAAAGCCACCCTGACCCTGTCATCATCTGGAAAAAAAAGCCAACCACACTGTACATAACAGCAAACACTATATAAGTGATACACAATAATGTATTTTTCTTAGTTTAGAGCACAGTCAACATAACAGGTGCAAATTCAATGTTGAATGTCTTGATAATGTTTATTGATGTTTATTGATAATGAATTTATTGACATACTGTACATTTAATTTTATTTTATGGAGTTTTACTTTCTTTAATACAGAAGTTCTAAGCGGCCATGCATTATTATTTTTTTCCTTCTTGTTTTCTCGTTATAACGACTTAATTTTCTCGTGATCTGTCGAGATAACGAGAAAATTAAGTCGTTATAACGAGAAAACAACTCCCGTTATGTCGAGATAACGAGAAAATTAAGTCGTTATAACGAGAAAACAACTCCCGTTATGTCGAGATAATGAGAAAATTAAGTCGTTATAACGAGAAAACAACTCCCGTTATGTCGAGATAATGAGAAAATTAAGTCGTTATAACGAGAAAACAACTCCCGTTATGTCGAGATAATGAGAAAATTAAGTCGTTATAACGAGAAAACAAGAAGGAAAAAATATATATTGCATGGCCGCTTAGAACTTCCGTATTTCTGCCATGGAAAAGGTAACAAAAAGCCACCGTTGTCATGAATCTGATTTTCCCTCGTTTTTTGCACCACCTGCTGGTGACCTTTGCAGATGCTGATGAAATTAAAGAGATTTTTTAAAATAAATAACATTTTTAAATAATTAAAATAATTTTTTAAAAATGACACATTTTAGAGAAAAACAAATAATTCTGTTTGTTTGTTTGTTTTCGTTTGTTTTATTCATTTATGTTTGCTTCCCATTTTTCCCCATCTGTGTGAACCTGTGTGATGCAAACAGATAGGGCACCTCAACCAGCAAACCCCAAAGTTCAGCCCAGTTTCATTACACCAAAACATTCACAACATGACCCTCTATGACGTGTTGAGCCCTACAGGATTTAACACCGATTCTGCAGCTATAAATTTAATGAAACCACAAGCATAACATTGGCTTCAGCACTGACCACGAGAGACATGACACACTGAGCCAGGAATATATTCTTAGCAGATGTCACATAACTTACCATAACTAAATAATTAAGGTATTTGCTGACATCCAAGCCGAAATAACATTTAGATTTCTGCAATAGCAAATGATTTAAAAACGGTAACAATGGGTAATAATTCATTTAATGAAAATTCATTATAATTTATTTTCATTATTAATATCACTTTATGAAATTACATTTATAAATTACATGTTGAATAATGTATGTGAATGTATAATTCTGTAAGTAAATGTCATTTAAACCATTTAATAATAATTTGATCATTTATAATTCAATAATTTATCAAAAGCCAGATATTGTTTCTTTTGTAAACAGATGTTCACTGTATGCTTTAGTATGTTACAGGCAAACGAAACCACAGCTTCTGTTGTAACAGAGTTTTTCATCGTGGGATTCCCTGGACTCCAGCCCAAATACTACAGCCTGATGGCAGCGTTTTTGCTCTGCATCTACATCGCTGTAATCACCGGAAACTCCCTCATTGTGGTCCTGTTTGTGATTGAGCGCAGCCTCCAAAAGCCTATGTACATTATCATGCTGAGTTATCCTTGTCTGATATTGGTTTTTGCACAGTTGCTCTGCCAAAAGTCATTTCTCGCTATTGGATTAATGATGGTTATATTGGCTTCTACGTTTGTCTGTTTCAAAGGCAGCTGATTCACTATTTTGGTACCCTGAACTCTCTTATTATGATGATCATGGCACTAGATCGGTACTTGGCGATCTGTTACCCGCTAAGATACCCTGTTTTAATGACTAACCGCACTATGAGGCTTCTAATAGGGTTTTCCTGGGTTACTGCGATGATTGCTCCAACCATTAGCTTAATGCAGACAGTGAAGCTCCCATTCTGTGGGCCAAACACGATCGTTCATTGTTTCTGTGATGGTACATCTATAAACCAGCTGGCCTGTGCTGATGTCACCCTCACAAATCTAAATGCATATGCTGTAGCAATGTTTGTGCTTCTCGTACCATTCTCCTTCATCATCTTTTCTTATTTAAGTATGCTGGTGTCTGTACTTCGAATTGCAAACACACAGGGCCGGATGAAAGCCTTTTCTACCTGTGCAACACAGCTGACTATCATTGCCATCTATTATGTGCCCCGTTTTGTGGTTTACACCACTTCTAACATCCCAAACGCGCAGATGAACAGCAGTCAGAAGATCGCCCTGGTCATGTTCTACAGTCTGCTTCCACCTGTAGTGAACCCCTTCATCTACTGCATCAGGATCAAAGAAATCAGACAGTTCTTTATCAAATGGTGTGTCCACAGAAACAGGTTTAGTCTAAAAATCAATAAGTTAACTACTCCAAAATGAAATGACGTACATAACCCTGTTCTGATGTATACCATTTTATGAAGCTTACATACAATATTATGTTGTTTTTATGGCCTTTTACATTTATATAAATAACTGTGATATTTATTAATATATAAAAATATAAATATATAAATATAATTTAAAGGCCAACAAATAAACAGAGACATTTTCCCTCTTTCACCAATATAAACAGTAGACTATAAGTGCATCTTACAGTGGGTGTTTAACCCTCACTGTTAATTTAAAAGAAGAAATGCTTAGAATAAATTTAAATACAAATGTATGGATAATGTAATCTTTCCAAATATATTTAATGTCATGTCCTGCTGTTTGGCATTCTTTACACCATGTAAAAATATATAGCCTAGATTTTTTTTGATATATACAAACCCGATTCCAAAAAAGTTGGGACACTGTACAAATTGTGAGTAAAAAAGGAATGGAATAATTTACAAATCTCATAAACTTATATTTTATTCACAATAGAATATAGATAACATATCAAATGTTGAAAGTGAGACATTTTGAAATGTCATGCCAAATATTGGCTCATTTTGGATTTGGAATCGGGTTTGTATATATATATATATATGTAAATATAATACCTGCAGGTTTTAAGTATAAATAAAACACAAATTCCCACCAAAATTGCCCACTCTAGATTTAAATTCAAAAAAGCTTGAATGAAACATTTGTTATTATTTTGATGACATAGACAGCTTGTGTAAATTTCCCATCATGCACTGATAGTTTTTTGTTGTTGTTGTTTGTTTGTTTCATTACATCACTATTAATTCTATGTGTTATTACTTTATTTATGCATCTCAGGCTTTACTTACTGAACTTTCTGCCTGTTTTCATTACTGTTTCTCAGAGATAAAAAGTATATGCCAATTACAATTCTGTCATTTTTTACTCACTCTTTGGTCAACAATCACCTATCAAACTGGTATATTTGAAAGAATTGACCACTTTATTTTAATTATGTTATTAACTGATGTACATGACCTGCTTAGCGGAAAAAGTAGTCGATTCTTACCGCGTGCAGTTTCAGAAACATTTGGCGGCAGCGGCGTTGTGTGAAGACCTTGGTGTGTGTGTGTGTGTGTGTGTGTGTTCGTCAAATTCCCATGGTTTCTGCCAAAATACCATAGTTTCTCACTACGGGACGCTTGATGGCTCAAAAAGCTGAATCCTCCAATTCGGTACATGTTTGTGGACGTTTGTCTTTTTTAGACATTTGCCTACAAATATAATACATAATATTAACAGCACTCTATTAAATAAAAAATATAAATAATATAATGCAAGTTTCTTCTTATGTAATTCTAGAGTGAAGAGTTTGACAGAATTTACGATGTGTCATTGTACCCACAAGGTGGAGCAAAAAGCTCACAATAAGACTCATTAAGACACATTCATGGCTTACAGGAGCTATTTGCTGTGTTGATTATTTTAGTAATAAAATAAAATAGAGAAACAAACATTGACGACTAATAGTAAAGCTCCTTACATGCAGTGACTTTTACAAATAAGTATGTATATATACAGTAGATCTAAAGTGACACCAGATGATCTGATTTAGAATTATGCTGGAGGGGAAAAAAATAACACAGATTTCAAAAATGAAATAGCTCATGTTTCTGTGTTGTGCAAATACATTTTATACCTAACATGGAAGCGGAACCAAGCCAAACTTCATTCCATAGTTATCTTCTGGCAAAATTTCCCAAACCCCCAAAGTTCAGCTCAGTTTCACAACAGCAAATGATTCAAAAAAAATCCATCTATGACGCGTAGGGCCCTATACAGGCTTTAACACTGACTCCACAGTTATAAAATATGAAACACTGACATCAGCACTGATCACCGAGAGACGTGACACACTGAGCCAGGAATATATTCTTAGCAGATGTCACATAACTTAACAGAGGAATAATTAAGGTATTCACTGAAATAAATTACATTTATATTTTTGCAATAGCAAATAATTAAAAAACTCATTTGAAATCAATGTCAATGGGTGATTCTTCTAAGGATTTTTTGGTATAATTTATTATTCATATTAATATTTTATGAAATGTATCGTTTTAATATTTGTATTATTTACCGTATATATATTTTTATGGACTGTTTTTTAATGTATAATCAAATTTTGACTTCCAAGTATATTTTTGGGCAATTCAAACCAGTCAAAGCAGTTTTTACAAGTGTGAGTAGCATTTAATGTCAGTGTAACTATGTCAGATATATTGTTTCTTTTGTAAACAGATGTTCACTGTATGCTTTAGTATGTTACAGGCAAACGAAACCACAGCTTCGGTTGTAACAGAGTTTTTCATCGTGGGATTCCCTGGACTCCAGCCCAAATACTACAGCCTGATGGCAGCGTTTTTGCTCTGCATCTACATCGCTGTAATCACCGGAAACTCCCTCATTGTGGTCCTGTTTGTGATTGAGCGCAGCCTCCAAAAGCCCATGTACATTATCATGCTGAGTTTATCCTTGTCTGATATTGGTTTTTGCACAGTT